AACAAAATAATAAAACCAAATCGAAAACTAAAAACTTTTCAAAAGGGAATCCTAAATTTAAAACCAAACCGACGGAAAAGAAAGAAGGAAAAACAATGAAGAAAGGAAGAACAAAACATGTAAAGAAAAAAAAGGGGGACAAATGAGACAAAGGGAAAACCCAAAGGTACCTAAAAAAAAAAAAAAAAAAAAAAAAAAACGAATAACAAAATTGGAAAAAAGCCTACTAAACATCTACGAAGCAACAAAACAAAGAAGACAAAATTTTTTCAAAACGAAACCCTAAATGAAAAAAAAAATTTCTGAATCTTAAACAACTGATGTCAGATAACAAAATAAAAAAAAAAAAAAAAACTCCATTCTAGAAACAAAAGATTCTTCAGGAGGAACTTACAAAATAGAGGAAGAACAGGAAAAAGCGTAGAAGAGAAGAAGAGAGAAGAAGACTCAAATACAGAGAGTCTAGAAAAAGAGAGAGAATTAACACAAAAAACATGAAGAAAGAGAATAAAAGAGAGAGAAAGAAAGGCAATCGAGCAAAAGAAGCAACGAAATTAGAAGGAAGAAGATGCAGGAATGATCTAGAAGAGGAGCAGGAATTAATTCCGTAAAAAGATAGACCAAGCAGCCCCTGCACGGAAGGAAAAAAGAGGAGAGAAAGAAGGGCAAAACTAGTATACCACTGTACAAACTAAAGTGAAATGGGTGTGGATGAACAGTGATTCTCACCACGCACATGATTAGAAACGAAGAAGAAAGGGAAAGGGCAAACTCGGAAAAAGAACGCACTAAAAAGACAAAACTGCCCACGCTAAAAAAAAAAAAAGAAAAGCAAAGGGCAAACTCGGGAAAAATGGGATTACTGTACAATGAATAGTGATACATGAGTATATGAACAGTGATCCTTTGGGTTTCGTATATTTATAAAGTGTATAGAGAAAAAAAAGGAGAGAGGCAATAGGTGAAAAAAGAGAGAGAAGAAAAAAAAAAGAGAAGGTCAAAAAATGGAAGGAAAAAAAAAAGAGAAGGTCAAAAAATTAGGAGACGTTTAGTTTATGAATTATAATTATTTTTGATTTATGTGTACTTTTTGTGAGAAAAAACACTGTAATGAACCATAAACTATGATTTAAATTATGGCTTGAATTCTCCAACTAAACGTCTCCTAAAAAAAAAAAAGAGGAGGCCGCCTCCTTAGAAGCCAAATTTATACATAGATTACCAAACAAACTACGCTGTCATTCTATATCCAATTATTCATCTCACTACTTTCTTTCTGCAATTTCAAATATGTGAATCATAGTGGCGTTACTATCCAATGAATATATTTAGAATGTGAATTATAGCAAATAGGTCATGTTTAAAAATATCTTGACAAACAACACTTTCAAAGTATTCATAGTAAATAAAACATTTACGGTAAATAATTCATCTACAGGGCAAATTTTTATGAAAATTTACAATAAATATGCTTCATAATTAAATTTTTCTATCTTAAATATGTTACTTACCACAAATATTTTGATAAAATTGTTATTTAGCTCTTTCTCCTTGCTGAAAACATATAACAAAAAATCGTTGGACCGGTATTGGATGGATTTTTTAAAAATGGAATCCAAATGACTCCTTTACATAACCCCATTAGTAAAAGCTTTACAAATTTATTCATATTTCACTCTCCTTGGAAATTTCAATTTGTAATATTTATATCAAAATATTTAGAAAAATTTTATGCATCCTCTAAATTTTAACTTTTGAATTTTGATATACTTGTATTTTAATTTTAAATACCAAATAAACTAAAAATTAACCACAATATTATGTAGATGAGTAATTTTGTGAGCCATAACATTCAAAGAGTAAATTAAACTCGATTAAAATTGTTTTATTGTTTCTTTAGTAAAACTTTTTGGTCTAATTTCCGTCCCCACTAAAAAAAGTTTTCTAGTTCCGTCACTGGGAGTAAGTTGCTTTGATTTTAAGGTCAAGTTTGGAATTTTTTTTTTGATAAATGGGTCCAATTTGGGTCAAATTAGATTTTTTTTTTTTATAGTTTGGGTTAAATTAGATTTGAGTCATGTAAAATGGAGTTATGGTTTTTTTTTTTAATATCAACCCCTACACGGAGAATTATTTACTACACTAATTGAGTGCCATGTGCTACGCACGTGGTGACTAATTTTGTAAGTTTTGTATGCATGTTAAATTTTAATTACTATTTCATTATTTTTTAATTTATTTAATAGATATTATATTTAGTTGTTAATATGGAACGCTCACATATTTATAAGGATCACTTTTAAAATAACAAGAATTATATTAGTAAAATATTGAATAGGGACACATTTAGAGAATAAAATATTCTAATAGAAACAATCAAGGAAAAAAATACTTAAAAGAAATATATCGAAAAAGAATTAAATTATAAAAGAGCTTCTAATAAAAAAAAATAGAAACACATATGAAACAAATTACTTTAATAGGAGCAAAGAAAAATATTTCAAAATTAGCTCAACATGTACAAATTAAAATAGCTAAAAGGATGGCATGAAAAAACCTTTTTCAAAAAAGATACATGTGAGAAAAAAACTACTAATTGGGACAATTAGAAAAAAATTATAAAACTTACTGTCGACATAATAAGGATTATATTAAAAAAACAGTACATTTGAAAACAAAAACATTTTTTAATTGGAGCAAATGAGGAAAAAAACTTAAAAAATTAAAAATTAAATTATAGAAGAACCTTTAGAAAAAAGGAAAAAGAAAAACACAAGATATATAAGTTAATTTATTAAAAGCAAAGTACGCAAAAACCAATATTTTATAATTACACCGTAAAAGAAAATTTTAAACTTTAGATAAATATTTAGCAAAAGGATAAGAAAAATGATGAAAAGTAAAAATGAAATTAAGCATTTTAAAATAGAAGATAACAATAAAAAAGAAGAAAAGAAAAATAGGGAAAAGGCAAAATAGTAAAAAAAAAATCAAACAACAAAAACAGTAAAGAGTCAAAATAACAACTAACAAGAAAGAAAAACAGCGGAGGACGAAGCGGCGGAAGTGCACATTGGTGCTTTTATCCATTTAATTAAAATTTAAGATTAAGATAAGATGTCAGATAAAGTAATATAATGGAAATTTTTTTTTGTGAGAATCAGTGAAATACAAAACTAATTAGAAGAACAAATTAGCAAGATAAAGACATTTAAGTAGGGCACATTTATGAAAAAAGAAATTAGTACAGTAATTAAGAAAACAATGAATTTATGAAGGTCGTATCTAAAAAAAGTATTTTATGGGATTGTTAAAAAATATTCACATATGGATATATTTGATTAAAATTATCATAATAGTTGAGTTTCAAAAGAAATAATCATAATATAAATAAAATGAAAGAAAAATATTTATAACATTTGACAACATAATATTTAAGAAGATTAAAAAACACATTTAAGTGTAAATCATATATGTGATAAAAATTATTACGAAAAAATTTAAATTAAAAGGAAAAGTATTTTGATATAGGTAAAGTTTTAAGTCTAGCGGTCGTACAATTTAACAATATGCACATGCAATATCATTGGTTCATGTGTCTAATTTTTTTCGTAGGCCGTTGTACCACTCAGTGTTATATATGTTAGACTATAATCATTGAAAATTATACTAAAGTAAAATTGAGTTATATACACGTACAAATGATATTACATAGTCATACAAAAAAATTGCATGCACCTGATTAGGTATGGGATCCGAACTTAACACAATTCCTTTTAATATATTGCAGTTTAAAGTATAAAGTTTTTACGGAAATAGTAGAAAATATGCTAATATAAAAAGCTTAAAAAAGTATATAGTAGAAAATATGCTAATAGAAATTAATAGGCCATAACTTGTCAAGTTATGGTTCATAACCAGATAAGTTATAGACAGACTTGTCAAGTTATTATTCATACCCAGACAAGTTACGGACAAAAACCGTGAATTATGGACAATAACTTGTTAAGTTATGGTTCATAACCAGACAAGTTATGGACGTAAACAGTAATTTAGCCTATTTATTAACTTATGTAAACTATTGACTTATTAATTTTAATTCATCTCAAGTCTTGATCTATTTTTCTCTTTCTCTCAAGTTTTTATGAGCTTCTTTCGTAGGATAAAAGAGGAAAAAAAAAACACCTTACTTTCAGTTGGAATAAAAAACTCTTTGTTTAAGATAATATTTTTTATTATTGTTATTTTAATAAAGATAAATTTGTCATTTTTAATAAAAGTATATAAATATCATTTCAATTTTAACATTGTAGAAAACACAATATGTTTCGCTATAACAAAACAAGATATTAAATGATTTTTTTTTATTTTATTAAAATATTCTCTTATATGTCTAACGTATTGATAGGTCAAAATTTTTAACTTTTACGTAATTTTATGTAGATTCAACAGATATAAAACTTGACATACATGTATATTAGCGTATTAAGAAGGTCTCTCTATTTTAACCTCATTTATTTCACCGATTTAAATTTTTAATTTTAAATTTCTACAGTTAAAATTTTTTAAAAAATATCACATCTAAATTTTTTTATTATAATTAAAAATTCTTTAAAAAGATTAGGTTCTTGAAAATCCAAATACGAGAAACAAGACCTTTATTTCCATTCTCGCGTGTTACTTCCGAAAATTAACAAAAAAATATAAATAACTTAATATATAAGCTGAGAGAGAAGAGTTTCTTTTTTTTTCTCTCAAACGAGCGCTTGGACAAACACACGAACAAAACTAAAAGAGACTCTCTAACAGAGACCAGCAACTCAGACCATAATCAGCAAAACCAAAAGAAAGAGAAAAAAAAAGAAAGAAAGAAAATCGATAGGAAACTACTCTTCCATACTCTCAAGAAAGAAGAAGATACAAACACACACACACACACACAAAAACAGCTTTTGAGATTTTCCATTTTTTACCCCTTTCTTCTTTTCTTCTTTCTTTCTTCTCCCTTTCTTCTTCTTCTTCTTCTTCTTCTTCTTCGGTTGATGAAGAACTAGATAGATCTCTCTTGTCCTTCTACAATGCCCACTTTGTAGCGGACAAGGTAATCTCGGGACCTAAGTGAAAAATCTCGTTCAACTTCGCAATCTAAATCGCCTTTTTTCGTGTGTTGTGTTTTCTGTTCTCGATCGATGATCGAAATCAAGAACGGAGACTGATCGGATTTTGTTTTCTGCTGTTAATCGGAGAAGTAGAGCTCAACTTATTATTTCTGTTTTTGTGATTTTTTGTGTTGGTGATTCTTCTAGGGTTTCGTCGGATCACGAACTGGGGACTTGGAATTTCTCGCGATTTTTGTACAATTAGGGTTTGATCGAGCTTGCGGGTGCTTCGAATAGTCTGCTCGGGAATGGGCCTGAGGTCTCGATCTCTTCCGGTTGCGATTTCGGCAGTGGTGTTTCTGAGCTTTTTTTGAGCTATTTGAGAATGCGTGAAATGAGGACAAAACGTTCTTGTTACGAAGATTGGACGGGATTTCGGATTCTGCGAGAGTAGGAATTGGGATAGAAGAGTGATCAAAAAGGTTTTTTTTTTTTTGTTTGAGATTGGTAAGGGGATGAATTTAATGTTATTTGCAAAGATTATAAGGACGAACTGATGATTTTGTTTTGGCAAAGATAAATTGAGGATCGGATTATAGTCGACCCACCATTTCTGTTGCTGAAGATTTTGGTTAACATAGTTGAATAGACAGAGTTCTTTGACCAAAGAAGAGAGATTTCACAAGTTAATTTTAAGTTTTTATTTGGGTTTTGAGTATTTTTGTGGGAGTTCAGTCTGGTGTTGTATTTGGATTTTGGTATTGTCAGGAGGTTGCTTTCCTGTGATTTAAGTATCGGAAGTGAATTTCAGATTTTTGAGGTAAGGGGAACAATTGGGCGGTTCTGTATCTGGAGATTGTGTTCTGTTGGAGTGACTGAGAAGCTCATGGAGGAATATTGATGCTGGAAATGAACACGGGGACATGGTGCATGGACAGGAGCATAGTTGTTGGTTCGTTCCCTTTCCGGAACAGTGCTGCTGGAAAGTAAGATCAACGTTTTCTTCTGTGGAAGGCGCTCGTGTCGTGTGTTGTGGAATTCTGTGCAATGTCGCGCTGCTTTCCGTTCCCTCCACCAGGATATGAAAGGAAGGCTAGGAATGATGACGGGGATTTACTAGAAAAGGTTTCAATCTACTTTCTTACATTGGCTAATTTTCCATTATTGGCGCACATTCTTTTAAGGCGTCGAAATAAATATGATTTTGACTTCTGCAGCATTGGAATGAGATGATTTCGATAATCAATTTACCTGGAACACATAATATTCTCTTTAGAAATGTTGCAATCTTTTCATGATAAAAAAGTTCGTTTGAGCATTGTGATTAAAGATGTTTTAAGATGTGGTGATTTGACTTCCTTGACATATAACTAATTATTGTAGATATTTGAAGTTGACATATAATAATAGTGAGATAACAGAAGGCTGAAACGGTATTCCTATTCTATTTTGGATAGTAATTGATGGTGCCAGTTTGTGTTTGACTGTGTCATATGTTGCTAATCTGTACTCCCAGTCACTGCCTGGAATTGATAATTACTAAGCAATTTCTTTTTTCTAGTAGCATATGAAAAACCATGTATAGCCAATTTCTTTTGAGTATAAAACTGACCGCTGATTGCTGTATGTAAATGTTTTTCTTTTTCGTTGCATATTATAGATTAGGCCTTAGGAAATCCAATTTTCCAAACAGAGTTCTTAGTGAATCACTTTTCCACCCCTAGATATGAGGTTTCTGCACATTACATCAAGTATCCCCTGCTTTTCTTGTTGGATTCTTTTGCCTCTTGACACCAGCGTACTGCAACTGATGTTGATGACAATATTTGCATATGTTGTGGTCTAAACTAGCAGAGATTCAAGCATGGCTTTCTAAATTTATTAGCATATTTGTTCTAGATGTTCTTATGTCAAATTACTCTGTTAGGTTATTTAATTGATAACTTGGCAACTTAACATAGTAAAATTCATGGCCAAGGTGAATCTAGAATAAGTTAAATATCATTCGACACAATGATGAAGATAGTATTCCCCAGTTTAAGATTGAATAATTGCTAGGTACATTATTTATATGTTTCCGAGATAGAGTGGATGCTAATGAGTGTTTTGAAAATGATTTCCACATGAAGAAATTTTCTTACAGCGTACGACATAGGACATTCTTTGATTCTCAAGACTTGTCAGACTGTAAGTGATTTGTCAGGAAACAAAGCAGGTTGCTATACGCCTTAAGAACATATGTCTTTAAGAAGAGTTAGGATTTTAACATACTACCAGATCAGTAATCTTAAATCTAAACCCCTGTAGCTATACTCTCCATGGTTTACTTAGTTTTGGTTCTTTAATATGTATTGAGTTTCTCGTTATATCCTATTTGGCTTCTCCAAATGTATGTCCCGTGCACTATATTTTAACAAGTCTAGATCTTAAGGGAAGTGTATGAAAGCCAGTATAGTTACACCTCTTAAGTTTTAGGAAGAAACGATAATTTGACATAGAATTAGCCTAAGAAGTAGTTCAATAATTTTGTAGTTCAACATTTTCTTCAATATGTGGGTTACACCGAGATACTTAGCTTTTTATTCCTTACCATAAATCCTTCTTAACTTTGGTAAACGAGAATATCTCATGTCCTTGGTACGGCGTGAAGGGTTTTACCAATTGTACCAATTAATAGCTTCAGTTAGACATATAATATCTTAGTTTGGTTGTCTATTTCTCATTATATAACATTTTCTTGAAATTGGAAAAATTTGAGGAATTTTCTAGGTAATGTGTTGGAACTAGGGCCCCACCTAGGTGGCGACGGAGGGAGCTAAAAGGGGGCGGGGATGTGGGCAAGTAGAGTTGAGGCTGGGGTGGGGACAGGGGAAGCACTCCTCGCCCGCACACCACCCTATACTTGTTTCATATTTTCATTTAAAAAATGTATAGATGATTTTATAAATTTTAACGTATAAAATTTATTTTAGTTTTTATTGCTAAAACTTGGTTTGATTTGTTGTAAATAGATTTGTTTTGTGGACCTTTGAATTTGTATGAATTTCATATAAAATTTTGTTCTGCATAATTGAAACTTTTTGTCAAAAAGGAGCATGATAGGGTAGGTATGAGGGAGATCGTCCAACCAGGATTCCCCAACCCCCACGACTCCACTTCTCTCTAGGCAGTACTGTGGGATTTTTGGGGGCCTGGGGAACATCCCTAGTTGGAGCACATACACTGTTTAAGGATGGAAATAGGGTGGGGGTGGCTCCTGGGAATGCTTGCCATACCCGCCCCAATCTTTACCATGATGTTTATCTTAAACGAAAGTTTCAATAAGTTAGTACATATAGTTTTAAAAATAAATAATATGTGTACATATTTTTCCTAATATATGTATGTTGGGGCTGAGGCAGGGCAGGGAGTGTTCCCCCCATTCCTGCCTCAAGTCCTAAATAAGTTGTCTAAATCCCTGCCCCAAAATCCCATTAACAATCTGGGCGCTGCCCCGTCTCCACAGGAATAGTGCCATCCCTGGTTTGGTTTCTTTTCTAACATCTTAGGCTTCTGGCGTTTAATTGCCAAATAACATATATAAAGTGACTCTTAGCCAAGGGAGCTTAGATTTGAGTTGTCTCACCATGGTGGTTGGGTTATATGAGCATACGTGTATAATATCACGCGGTCCATATAATTTACATGGGTCATAGCGGAACACAACCTTCATACACTATAATCTTTTGAAGTTTAAGCCAAAAACGAGAAGGCTTATGGCATTTATGGCAACACAACATTGTACAGAGCTTGATTATTTCTTTGTTGTTGTTTTGAATCTTGCCTCAATTTTCACTTCAGTAATGTCTTCTGTTTCGTGTGATGTCCCTATTTTGTAAATTCTTTATCAGGCATGTGTAAGACTTGTTGCTCGCCGACACTGAGGGGGAAAATATTGGGCACGTTTGGAACTCGTTCCAAAATGATTTTGTTTTTTGTATGAAAATGAAAATGAAATCGTTTTCAATCTCAGACAGAAATTATTTTTGAAAATGCGTTTGGTAGTTTTATCAAGAGATTGTTTTCAGTATAAAAAAACCTATTAATGTCTCTTTTTCTCTCTGCTCGAGAGGAGAAAACAAAAACAAAAAATGAAAAACGACTAAAAGTCGTTTCTCATTTCTCTCTCATTTTACACTAAACCAAAAAATCGTTTTCATTTCCGTTTTTTATCTTTATTGCGCCAAACGCCGTTTTGAAAACGTTTTCATTTTTTCTTTCTCGAAAAACGTGAAAAACAAAAATGGGATCAATTCCAAACATGGCCATTATAATTGATTTTGCTGCCTTGGTACCTCGTTAGGCTTTTTTCTTATAAGGTAAAGCTTTTGGAATGTATTGTAATTTGACATGAATGGCATGGATCCTTGTTATTTGTTGAACTGCGTCCTACATGCTAGGAAGAGTCTGAAAATGTGATTTTTCACTTGATTGACTTTGGTCGGTTGTTTTTTATCAACTTAAAATTCTATTCTTCATGGCAAGTTAATTAACATAAGCTCAAACGAGTTTACATCTTTTGTATATGTAATCCTTGAACTGTTTCCTACAGTATACTGTATGTACCCTGAAATTGGAAATTAGTGATTAATTTTCAGGCGAAGGTCTTTCTAGAGCTTTGTGACTACAATATTGTAATTTGCAGGACAGAGTGTTGTTTAGTATTTTACCTCCTTGTGTGGGTTTTTCAATGGGCTGGGGGGAGGGGAGTAAGGTAGACACAGAATAGTATCTTATATATGATTCATTACGAGGTAGAAAGATTCTTGTGATTTGTTTTATCCGTGGAAGTTGTTTGCCATAGATGAAGCGTGAGAAGAACGAGAGTGGCCAAATTTGTCCAGACAAGAAAGAGAAGGAAGAACCTGAACCAAAAAGTGAAAATCCAAAAGACATGCCAACTTTCTTGTATTTTGGATCATCTTCTTGCTAGTTCTTTGTCTATGGTCCAAGTGCTTGAACTAAACTCAAGGATCGCCTTACTACAGTTTTTAACTTCTGGATACCTTTCTCATCATCTGCTTGCTTTTCCTGTCTATTGATTGAGAACTTGAACTAAACTCAAGGGTAGCCTTACTACAATTTGGAACTTCCACATATCTTTCTGTTTTAATTGTCTTCATTTGTGTCTCAGCATGCTAATTTTGCAATGAGCTGTGAGGTTGTCTAAGAATACGAGAGGTGTGGTTTGTAATTTAAATCCCATTGAAAAAAACTTACCTGTTTCATAAGCTACCGCTTGAAGCTACTAGTTGCTTTCTTTCCAAATTTGAGGGTTTTTTTTTTCTTAATTTTTTTTTCCAAAAAGAAATTGAGCTGATTGGATTCACCTTTAATCAATATTCATCTATGTAAATGGTGACGATCCGATTAGACCATCTAATCTCTTTCTCTGTCTCTCTCTAAGCTAGCCTTATATTTCGTCATTTGGTGATGCTCATATTTCTACGTTTTGTATTTTATGATGTGGATTGTCTTCCTATTTCTGGGTAATATAGGAGCAATTTATTCTCTCTGCTCGTAAACATCACCTCAAAAACCTTTCTACCAGGTGAGGCACAATTATCAAAAGGTTGAAGCTTAATGTCTGTTTTGACAATATGATAAGCCAAATGATATTGAAAAATTTAATTGGGAATAATCAAAGAGTTTGAAGCTTAAGTGTCTCTGAGTCTGACAATATGATTAAATCTGCTGGTATAAATGTGAAGAAAATCATGTAGAGGTCTTGGGGCTCTCTTTTTACCAAACTTTATATATGTTGGGTATGATCTTGGATGGAGTGTAAAAGGGGGAGTTTTTGGTATTAATTTTGCTGAAGTATGTTGAGTTCTATCTGCCTTTATTTACTTGCAGTTCATGTTGGAATCTCTTCCTGTTAAGTTCATCATTTGTATTTGTATTTGTATTTTTTTTAATTTTTTTTGTGTGCGCGCATAGGATTTTATCAAGAGTATCTAATATCTATTGAGTTAAATGTACATACAAATGTGCACATGCGCGCGCGTACACACATATTATATACATATATGCATAGTGTATTGGATTATTCCCCCCCCCCCAAAAGCCGATACCATGGTCTCACTTCACTATTTGTTTTCCATGTCGTTCAGGAGAAGCAACGAGAAAAGAAGCACAAAAAGGAGAAAAGGGATAAAGAGAAGGGAGAAGGTAAGGAAAAGAGAGAGAAGGATAGAAGTGATGGAAAGCATCGGGAAAAGAAAGACAAAAGAGAAAAACACAAGGACAGGGACAAGAAGAAGGATAAGGAGAAAGATAGGGATAAATCTAAAGATAAAAGTAAGTCATCAGATGAGAAGAGACTATCAGGGCAACCTGATTCTCATGTTGGGGAGAAACTCACTCAGAAAGAGGGCAAACAGAAGGACACTAGTGCTGACAAGAAATTCTCTGGGCAAATTGAAGGTCATAAAGCGGAGAAGCTCAGTCAGAATAGTAGTCTGGATGATGAATCTAAATATGTTAAGGAGTTTGGTAGGAGGATTAAAGATCAGGCGACAGGAACTGCGAACCAGTTGGAAAAATTTTCTGGTACAGACCGAAAAAAAGATGAAGGGATGCTCAGATTGGTGGGCAAGAGTACTAGTAATTTGGCTGCGGACAAGGAGAAGGACAAGAGAACTGAAGTTAGAACAACAGATGGGCAAAGTACTCGGGATGGCACAAATGTTGGTGGAAATGCAATGGTCCAGAATACCACTACAACTGCTCAAACTAAATTCGAGGTATTGCCTAAACTGTTGGATAACAATGTTGATAGGAGGATGGAGGGAAATGAAAATACAAAAGACAGAGAGAGCAATGATAAACGAGCGGTTAAAAGCAAGGAGAAAGATAAGGAGAAAAAGAGCCATGGGAAGGATAAGGACAGGGATAAAGAGAAGAAAAAGGAGGATAGAGAAAAGAGAAGGGAGGAGAAACAGAAGAAAAAGGAGGAAAAAGAGAAGAAAAAGGAGGAGAGAGCGAAGGAGAAAATTCAACCTAAAATTACAGAGCCGGATAAATTAAGAGCAAGCAACAAACATGATATTGTTGATAACCATGCAATCAAAGGCCCCCAACTTCCCAAGGATAGCAATAACAATGCTCCTAATGATGTAAATCTGAAGAAGAGGAAGGACGTTGAGACAAATGGAGTTCTACATGGTGAGTTCTTTTGCATGCCAAGATGATTACTATTGCATTGCAGGAACTTTTCCTTAACATACAAGTTAGTTTTATGGGTTTTTTGGGTTGTACTGTTTGACCCAATAGCTGATGCCATTAGGCCCATTACCATTATGTTATTGTCATGATGGAGAGAAGAACCAATGATTAGCTTTTCGGGAAATTTCGAAACAAACAATTTCAATGAAGTCTTTTAATTTCTTATTTTGACCATGTTCAACTTTATGTATTCTTCTATCCATAGAGTACATTGCATGTACAGAAATGACTATAATGGAGTTTTTGTTATTCGTATTAGCGCTTGATTTCGTCTCTCTTAATTGGAGTGTTCTTGAATCAGTCCTTGTTAATCAGGTCTGAACTCTGGTAGTTTTCTTGGTGGCTGATGGATAATGCTTCGTTTTCGAATTTCCTTGCAGCCCATGATATTTTGCCTGGTAAGGTGGCAAGAACTACACCATCATCATCTTCTCATCCTTCAACTCAAAATGGAAGGATACTGGAACCCTGCCAGGCATCTGTCCGTGCATCAGAGATTAAGGAAGCCTCCAATAATCTCAAGATGGACAATAAGGAACTCAAGATAAATGGCATAATAGAAGCTCAGCCATTGTCTGTCTCCCGTGTGAAGCCCAAGTCCGCAACAGCAGTAGCTGATCCAGTTGCTGAATCATCGTCAAGACCTCCCCATCCAGACTATTCAGTGTCAAGACCTCCCCATCCAGACTCCAAGTACTTAAGCCAGGTTTATTCGGTACCGAAGATGGAGTGGTCTGATTACGACGACCAAGAATGGCTGTTTAGCAGCAATGCTTCCCAACCAAAGAAGCCCAAGGTGGAATCCTCGGCGGTTGAGGAGACTCCACTTGTGTGGGCGGAGGCTCGGCAGATAGGATCAGCTGACATCTGTGCTTTGCCGTATGTTATTCCTTATTGATTGGTTATTCAAATGGGGATGCTTCACCTCCCAAGTCCTAACTCATCTTACGCGGGCAGCAACCCTCCATTGAACCGCTTGAAGGTATACATGCATCAGGCCCTTGAGATGGATTTTCTTGATTTCATTCTGCAGATTGTTGTTGCACTCTGTTGCAGTGGGCATGGTGTGACAGATTGTTATCAAGCTCTTAAATCGAAATTTTGGTCACACGTCGCCTAGCATGCTCAAGCATCATTGCGGGGCTAGATTCAGAGTCAGAGGGTGGATTTCCTGTGGTGGTATTGAACCACTAATTCATTCAACATGGAAATTTTCATAAAGGCAACTCAGTGAGAGTTGCTTAGGCGAGAGATGTATGAGCTTGTGCAATTTGATTTCATTTTCGCAGAGCTGAGCTCTTTCTAATTGAAAATATATGAGAAACTAGATGTGGTATTTGCAACTCCACCACAATTTTGATTTGTAACATAAACACTTATTTACAAGAAATGTAAGATAGAGGGAAAGCAAAAAAAGTAGTGGCATTCATTTATTCACCTCTTGTAATTGTTTCCGATAATCCATTATGGTCCCATATAGCAGTCTATAAAAACATGCTCCATATGATTCCATTTTGACATGATTTTGGTCAGAATGGTTAGAAGCGTATACCACCCGTGTGAGTTTTATTGTAGAGGACCATTTCTTTAGAACTAGCTGGTCTTTAGAACTAGCTGTTTGTTTTTGTTTTTGCTTTTCGTTTTTAATTTTGTTTTTATTGATTTATTTTAAAAATGAAAGATTTTATTAGAAGAGCACAAAGGTACTAAACCATGGTGTCATCTTCTCAACACTGAAACTCCTCGAGACTGAGTCCCTGTTTTTGTTTCAACAACTCAAACCGTTGTTTAGTATTTAAATGTTGTTTAGGATTTAAATCTTAGTTCAAGATTTAAATTGGTGTTTGAAAGATGAATATTTAAGAACAATTCAAACTATTAACAATGGTTTAAGGACAACTCAATTTGTTGATTTTAAAATTCACCTCCTAAATTTTAACAATTTGAATTGTTGTTAACATTGCAATAGTTCTAATTCTACTTTTCTCTCTCTTTAATTTCAATCTTAAAAATGTTACAACTTTTTTGTTTTAATTTCGATTGAGATGATTTTTTTTTTAATTTGTTCATAATGAAGAGATGAACAAATCTCCACCCATGTTGCATATTTTTTAATGTCATTTATAATGAGGTTTTATAAGATTTGTTATAAAATTCTAATGACAGTTTTCAATACTTTATCTAAACACAGTTTAAATTTTATTTTTTATTTAAATTTAATTTATTTACATATCTAAACAACAATTCGAATCACAATCTGAATCACTATAGTTTAAATTCTTCGATTCTAACTAAAAAGGTTTAAATATTTACGGTTTGAGTCGCGGAACTAAACAAACACAAAACACCCCAATGACCCGTCTTAAGGGCCTTTCCATAATTCTGTCACCACAGCTATTTCCCTTTTTGTCCTTTCCCCTTTATTCTTTATCCTTTTTTTAATGCTTGCCTGCGAAGTTGCCTATTGTATTGAGCTCGCCAATAACCGTATTAAGAGATGAGAGAAGCCCCTTTTGTACTTTTATCTCGATTTGGTGTCAAAAAAAGTTCATGACTGTAAAGCCCAATTATCTCATATTTAATCAATAATAAACATCTTGCATCATGATGCATCTAGCTTGTATGTATTATTGAATTAAGGCATACAAATGACATCATTGTACGAGCACGTATAGTTATTGTTTCATGATTTAGATGTGCTTTAATGTGTTTCAATTTATGAAATATGATACAGTATTTTATTTCTATGATTTAACATGTTCTTAAAGTGTCCATTTACGGTAAAAAACTTAGGGGTTATTTTTTTAGAGTGAAATTTGAGTATAATTTTTGAGTTGAATTTGAGTTATAACTTGAATTAAAGTTGTAACTTGAATAAAGTTGAGTAAAGTTGAATAAAATTAGAACTTAAAAGAACATGAACTTGAATAAAGTTGTAATTTAATTTAAATTTTTTCTGAATTTTGTTAGAAAAGAACAAGCCATTGGTTTCACAATTAAGGAAGATTGGTGTGTTAAACGGTTGCGAAATGAGTTGTTTGTGTTTTTCCATATTAGCTACATTTCAAGGTGATTGTTTGTCTTTATATTTGTTTTAAATAAGTATCATTTGACTAAAAATTAAAAGTAAGAAAAACGGTGCAATATGATTGGTTAGTTGACTAGGTTCCATAAGATTATGTTGTACTTATTTGTATGTGATTCTTATGGCTTGGTATCAGCTCTAATGCCTCTTTCAGCCCCTATCCACGTGCATATTTCATGAAATGATTACAAATATAGGCCGACCAATTAGATTGTTTCTCTCTCCTCCCTTTGAATGAGTCAAATTAGCTAGAAGATTATTGTTTTTGCTTCACTTTCTTTTGCTGAAGCTCCAAATCATTCAGCCCCTTTTCTCTTTCATTCCTCCCCATTTTCTAAGCTTACCGACTCACAAGAAGAGAACCCAAGTCATAGGAATTAAAATTACACAAAACAGATCAAGTTCTCACACTTTTAAGCTTGGAAACTGTAGATTTTGATGTTTAATTCCAATCCGATTAAGGTATCTTCCTTTCTGCGTTTGTTGTGATGAATTTTTGGTGAATTGATATGATTACATGGCTGAACATCTCTTTGCATGGTTTGAAATTCATATAGGACAGCTTTGAAGCTAAATTAAGTTACTTGGGCTAGTTTTTAGCAATTATTGATAGCTTGTGGAATCTAATCGTTTTATTTGTTTTTATTAATTTTGTAATGTTTATCTAGTGTTTAGAAATGCCTATGAGTAGTTGGAAGCACTAGCAATCAGTTTGTTTATAGGTGGTTAGAACCGAATCAAGTTAGAACCGAGTTTGCATCATATTTTGATTTTGGTGTTTTGAATTGTGTTTATAGGTTTAGTTGTTGTTCTTGTTGTTTTAGAATGTCTTGAATTGTTATCCAAATGTAAAATCTGAATTTGTTCATGAATCATGTGATTGTTATGTCAGGCCATTTTAACACACGCAATCTTCCAAAAGGACCAAACTTTTCACACATTAACATTGGATTCGAGGTAAGTTGAAACTTATGTTTTCTGTATCACAAGAATCATATGATGTTTATTTATGTTTTGACAAAATGGTTGTTGTTTAAATGTGATATAAGGTTTAGAACATTCATGGTTGGCATTGCACATGTTTCTAGTATAAGAGTTGAACGTAATGAGATTTTGCCAAAACGGAAGTGTGGTACTTGCTTGATGGTCGGGTAGGCAAGGGATGCCGGTGGGACCGGCAGACCCAACAAAATGGTGGCAAATACTTGAGGTTGAAAAACCAAGATATGGAAAGCCACGTTAAATGTAAAAGAATGCGGCTAATACATGAGGTTGTAAGACCAGTATGAGAAACCCTGTATTATTTTTCTTATTGACCAATACTTATGGACAGGTTCGGAAAACCACGGTCTATCACTATTGGTTAAGTATCAAACTTCAAAGGTATTCAAATGAAATAATTAAAAAAATGTTATTGAATTGAATAATGTTTGAAATGATTTATTACTTTGGTATATGATATGTTTGTTCATGTAAGAGTTTCATCTTACTGAGCTTTTAGCTCACTAGATTCTTGTGATATAGGTGACGATGTACAGGTTTAGACGTTGATTGAGTCTCCAGAGCTGTCAGACAGAGATATGTTCATATGCCATTTGTCAAAATATATATATATATATATATATGTCAAACAATGGCAATGACTTTAGCTTCATGTTCGATTTTTGATTAATGTAAATGTTGTATGTAAAAGAAAAACAAGAAAGCAAAAGATGAATTTCAAATTCTATGATCTATGTAAATTCTTTGCAAATAAAACCATAACACTCAAGATTCATTGAAATGTCAACTTCTTTTGACTTAACTGTATCAGCTTGTTTAAGGCTCTGCAATTAGGTTAAAGGGTGTTACAATGACGGTGGATTATTTATTTATCATTACACAACATAAAGAAAAGGTGGGGCTTTCTTGATTTCTTTTTATTTATTGGGAATTTTTATTGCAGACACTCAAAAAATTAACTACAGAAAGGACATGTTTTCAGTTTAACTTTAGATTAGATTTAACGGTGAAAAATTGTCCTACTCGTAGGGAGGTCTTACCAGAGAAAGACCATTATTTATTCCAACGTCTATCGTGTTTTTGGTCCTTTTTTATTTACATGAAGAGCACCTATTCTTTTTATGTTAATATTAAGGGTCTTAGCATCATTGTCCCTTAAATTTTTCGGCCACATGCACTAAAGAAGGGCCACTTTACAGGAACACTATAAGTTTTGAATTTAGATTAATATATGACAGGAGACATAAACTATTGTAAAAAATATCACAGTTAAAAATATTTAAAAATTGTAAAATCCATAAAATTACTAATATATATATGAAAAACTACAAAGCGTCTTACAAAATTTAAAGATAATGAATTAAATACACAAAAATACAAGCATAATTTTAGTCAGTACACGAAACTTAAACGATGTCATTGAGATATATTTTGCAATAGTTTTAGTACTCATGGTAAAAGTCAATCAAATCTTAAAAATCATGGCATATTGCCTAAATATCTCCTAAAGAAGCTCATGTTAGTTTTCGAAACGATTTCGGATGCGGAAGCGTAAGAATAGCGGATCGTGTATAACAAAAATTTTCATAAACCCTTTGAGATACTTTGTAGATTATACTAATTTATGCACGAATAAATTGATCACATTAATTTATTAATTAAGAACTCGATTAGGAATTATACCTAGCAGTCGATTAAGATGATATCTTGAGTTCTTTAACCTTGAGCGTTCCTTGCTCCAAAGCTAGTTTAGAAAACCAAAGTCTTCCTCATTAATTTCTAGAATCCACGAAGATGCGTGTGTAGGCACACTTGAGACAAAATAGTAATAGCAATAAAACACTCGAATTTTTCACGAACACCAACGCATGCATGACGTGAAATTTTTGGAGAAAATTTTTCCTTCTCACTCTGAATAATTTCGGCCACTATGTTTTAAAGAGAGAAATTCTACAATCTATTATTTATAAAGTAGTAGTCAAACTCTTAGAAGGAATCTAACATTTATCTCAAATATAAAGCTTATCAATTATCTCTCATTTGAATTTGGAATAAAATCTCCCACTCCATTATCCTAGCATGGCCGGCCACCTTAAGGGCCAATATCTGCAGGGGATAAGGCAAGATTATGCATATATTGAAAAGTCTAATTTTGACTCAAATTCAAATTTCAATTTAAGTCAAACTTAAATCAATTTGAATTTTAAATTGAACAACTTATCAAATAAGTTAATTGGATAACTATAAGAGCAAGCAATTTGAATCCCAAAATGATTAACACTGTACTATGCGTTTACACTATGTGAACACCTTCACATAAGTGATCTAAAATTCAAATTTAAATTTAAATAATCACATTATTTAATTTATAATTAATTCTCAATTAATTATCCTTGAGTGTTTTATTTTAGAATTTCGTAATTCTAATCTCATTATGCTATTTGTGTCTTGTAGAATTACAAGGACGACGCGGGAACTAATGGACCTATAATTTCGAGCTCCAATAAAATTTATAATTAATCAAACACTTTAATTAATTAATTAATTCTATTAATTCCAATAGTTACTTCACTATAAACTTAGAATTGCACTCTCGCAATTATAGACACATAAATTACTTATAAACTATGAAGTGTCCATTTGATATAGTCATTGCATATAGATCAATCATCCATAAATAATTCATAATTAGAGCTACGTAAAATTCGTTAATCTCTCTAATTACATCTTTATCCTTGAGTATCATTGATTCTCTAATGGACCGTGATTCATAAAACACATTCATGAATCAGAGTGCTCTTACTAATCGAAGTGCCGAATCAACACTGCAAGAGAATTATTTATCTACTTCTTTCTCAAGAAGGAATGGATTTGATCTCATATAATAACATTCTCGGCTACCCACTTCATCATGTCTCAAAATACAAGAAATATGACTCAGGATCTCAGAATCTGTACTGAGTAAATCAAAAGACATAAATAGTAGTCTGCGAAGAACTCATGATTAAGATCGTTTCATATATGACTATCGATAGACTCTATTAGAATTTCTATACTTAACAGAAATTATCAGAAATTCATATTATGACATGTATTAATAATATTTTAATTAAAGATTCTGAACTTTAATTAAATTCATTACGAACATAATTTTTTATTATTATCCTTAAACATTATTCTCTCACATATACAATGTTTAAGGTCACATAAATAATCATGAAATTTTCATTGATATTTATAAAATATTCATAAATATATGCACATAAAATGATGAATAAACTCTTTATTAAATAATTAATAAATATATTATTATATCTCATACTTTTAAGACATCATTCTCAACAGCTCATTATTCAATGTGAGGGATAAGCTAGCCAATCTAAGAGCAACCTCATTAGGTTATCTTCAGCACAAGAACCATTTTTTTCACTACATAATCTTTTTCTTTTACATTCGAATAAACGAGAATGCGTTTTTAGGGGAGGACGAAATGTTTCATGCGTTTCTTCCCCTAAATTTAATTATTTATTTATTTTTTATATATTCTGGTGGAGAAAGAAAGAGAGGGGGATGAGTGGTGGGTCCCTCCCAGGGAAAAGAGAGAGGGGGAGCAGATGGTCCCAGGTGCAAGAGGGGGATTAGGGCAATTTCGAGAGAGAGAGCTTGGCATAAAGAGAGAAAGAGAGAGAGAGAGAGAGGAGTGGCGGGTCCCGCGTGAGAAGAGAGAGAGAGAGAGGGGCGTGGTCCCACATGTGCAGCGATGTGTTTTGTCCAAAAAAAAATATTTTATTTATTATTTTTGTATTATTATTATTTAGTATTTTTATTTTAGAATTATTTATGTTTGATTTTATTCGTTTTAGCACTGTTTTGTCTCAAAATATTAATACTCTTGTGATAAAATTGCTATAAATAATTTGAAAAAACTAAAATCAATTAAAATCACACAAAAATAAAACAAAATAAAATACATTAAATAAAGAGTAATTTGCACTGCTGGTCTTTCAACTCTTTAGTAGGTGACATTTTAGTCCATTTTCTTTTAATTTTAACAAAATAATCCCTGAACTCTCATAATATTGATAATTAAGTCATTTCTGTCAAATTCTGTTAAATTTCTAGTGGATTCTTACAGTAACCCATCATGTATGCCTATTTTTAAGTGGAAATAACAAATTACCTTAAACTCACTCAGCACAATGACATAATCCACATAACATCAAAGAAAACCCATACAAATCATGAATAACAACATCGTCTGAATATTTCTACAAAAAATAATAATAATAATATAAATACGCCTTCAAAAATCTTTTAGCAGCAAACTTTCAATTTTGAACACTGTATGATTATAAAGAGATAAAAAATTTTTAAAAATGTCTCAAAATTAGCATCCACTTTCAACACAATCAGATTAATCACGACTCAAAAATCAATTTTGCTTCAGCAACACTAAGAAACTCGCGATTAACGCAATATCAGTAGAACAAATATGACCATTTAAGTGAATGACTAAGCATGTAAAAGGAGCCTGCTTTAACCTTTTTGTCCTTTTCTTTTTCCTCCTTTGCCCAGCAAACAAATACTGTATATATATTTTAGCCAAAAAAAAAGAAAAAACGGTATACATATAAAGGAAATTTTGGGGATATCAATTTAAAACATATAAATCTAATTGCATGTGTAAATGGCCTTTTGTTTTCTCTGATTTTGTGAATTTCTCCTTGAAAAAGTCAGACAAATTTCATGATGGAGACCCACTAAATACAGCTCTACAAATAATACTTGTAGCGTCAACATAACGATCAATATCTATAGACGCAACTATTCTCACCTAGCCATCTATACAGCACGCTGTACCCTTACAGTCTCAAGAGAAAACCTGGGCTTAATCCTTCTTTGAAATCATTGGAATTGAATTGACTTTAAGACACGCTCGACGGAGATAAAAATAAAAGCATTTCTCACTTCTCTTATTCTCAAAAACTTCAAATCCTAGCCTTCTCAAATCTCACTTTACTCTTTTTCTTGTTGGTGTTGAGAAATGTGTCCTAAAAACATAAGATGTAATATAATATTTATTATTTATTTAATAAAAGAGTTTATTCATTATTTTATGTGCATATATTTATGAATATTTTATGAATATCAATAAAAATTTCATGATTATTTATTAATCTTAAACATTGTATATAAGTGTTATATATGAGATGATAATGTTTAAGGATAATAATCAAAAAGCAATGTTCATAATGAATTTAATTAAAGTTCAGAATCTTTAATTAAAACATTATTAATACATGTCATTCCCATTTAGAATGGAACGGTGTTATCCGCACTGTTAATATGGTGAGATATTGAATGAGTGTATTTCGCATAATGAGATAATGTGGAACAAGGACACATACACAATATGAATTTCTAATAATTTCCGTTAGGTATAGAAATTCTAATTGACTCTACCAATAGTTATATATAGAATGATCTTAATCCTGAGTTCTTAAGAGACTCCTATTTATGGATTTGTGTCTTTTGATTTACTCGGTACGGATTTTGAGATTCTGAATCCTATTCCTTGTATTTTGGAGACATCATGAAGTAGGTAGCCGGAAATGTTATTACACGAGATGGAATCCATTCCTTCTTAAGAAAGAAGTATATAAATAATTCTCTTGAGGGTTGATTCGGTACTTAGACCAGTAGGAGCTCCGATTCATGAATGTGTTTTATGAATCACTGTCCGTTAGAGAATCAATGGTACT